TGTTCACTTACCACATCTTTTTGCACTAAACATGACTCCAGGAGGGGAAGGTACGAATTTCTGCTCGGAACAGAGAATTTTAGCATTTTGGGCACATCATTAATAGAATGTGTACACTCCCATGCAAAAAGAACAGACAAACAAAAAATACATTTATTTCGTTGTTTTGTTGTACTTTACAAGCTGCTTCCTTTTTATCAGTAATCATAGCGAAATCATTGCGGACGGACACGTTCGGAGTTATTTCAGAGTATGCCTGGAAGTATATTTAACTTCTTCTGGGTCTAGTCATATATATCTTTTCATTAGTGTGTTATTGGATCCACAAGCTAACATCAAAAACTTAGAAGGGATTTGGCATAACCTGTATGAATTCTACAAACTACAGCACACACAGCCAAAGATGTTCAGCGTATGAAAAGAATGCTTCGTTTGTTGAGTTTTGATTACGAAGTAGACAGCAAAGGTACCTGGCACGAGGGGTGTGAAACTGGACACAATATGTGTACATCGGGAAAAACAATCAGAAACAATCATGAAAAAATCACACACAATCGTAAACAATCACACACAATCCGAAACAATCACACACAATCGTAAACAATCACACACAATCACGAAACAATCACACACAATCACGAAACAATCACACACAATCAGGTCATAATCCGACACAATGTTGCAAAATATATCACAATATTTATTCGACCATCTGAAACAATCAGAAACAATCACACACAATCATACACAATCTGAAACAATCACACACAATCCACACAATCACACACAATCTAAAACAATCACACACAATCATACACAATCTGAAACAATCACACACAATCCACACAATCACACACAATCTAAAACAATCACACACAATCATGACACAATTTTTAAAATTATGTCCCAACATTGACCCAACTATCTGAAACAATCAGAGACAATCATCGACACAATCATAAACAATCACACACAATCTGAAACAATGATTGTCTAGACACAATCATGTGTACACTTTTTTGACCAGTTCCACACCCCTCGACCTGGCAAAAAGATGATTCAAAGCGAGCTGTCACTCAAACGGCCCGAAGGCCCTTTTTCCGATGGAAGGGTACACCATGAAAAATGAGAAGGGACAAGGCCCGTCCTAAACGCACTCGAGGGCAGGCCGATCGGCAGGCCTGGCTAGGCCTGCTCCCTGCCGAACCGAGTTGCCGGTGGAGCGAAGTGGAGCTGGCAACTTGGTTTGGCGGAAAAGCGGGCCTAGCTTGTTCTGATTCAGGCTCGCATGCACTATATCTGGATTATGAGTAGGGGAGAAAACATAGAAAACCGATGTAACCATAATTGTTGATCCTTCCACGCGGGATTTTAAACTGCAATAGTTGTTTTAATAGCAATCTGGTGCTTGCGACACGGTGCACACTTTTCTTGGCTTACAGAGCCCAGATTGGGAGTGAGTCCATGTTTCGCGAATATCTTCATTTTTTGATATTTAAAAAAGTATTCGAAACCTCATCCGAAATCTTAGGGACGATGAGGTATATAACTAATCAACTTCAATTGTTTTGTGCGGGGGGCAGAATTAACAACTACTACATTATGTGAGGGCAATTAAAGATAGATTACAGAATCTGCACCTGCCTACTCACTTTGTCTTGTGGCGTGGGTGTTTACACCGCCTGACCACTCGATGGCAATCATTGCAGCCAAAGTTTCAAGAAGCGTTTCGAATAGATAAAGGGTGCCACCAGCCGTCATTATGAGAGATGGGCAGTAAAAGAGGTGATTGATTGTATAAGCGAAGCAGACCACTAATCGAAGAGCAGTGTTGGACAGCAAGCTAGTTCACCAAGATGTGGCTCCTCCTAGCATGCGTTTTATTTACCGGCGTCATCAAGGAAGGTAACGTTATGGTCGCTGTAGGCTGTGGTGACGGCTGATCACACGTGTTTGTAAGACCGTAGGAAATTTCAATGCTTCACATTTAATGGGGAGGGACAATTTTGTACGTATCTGAGCTGTGTCCCTCCTTGTGCACATCTAAATCGGATTCTTTGGTCAACTCACCTACCCTAGTAGCACAGAACTGTCGCAAAACCGAGGGGTACCTTACTTCGAACAATCGCTGTACACTTTGAAAAAAAATCTAATTTAAATCACAAACAATCGCAACCTAAATCCCTAAGAATCACAACAATCCTTTACAATCGCTAGAATCAATTCGAATATTTTTCTCAGAAAATCGTAACAATCACCTAAAATCAATGTTGAATCAAAAGAACAGCCCTCTACAATCAGCATTAAATCGCAGCAATCAACTACAATCATTCATTAACTCATCACAATCCGTCGTTGAATCATTACAATAACCAAGAATCACTTCTTAGACCATCGCAATCGAATCGTGGATTATCCGACACCCCAAATATCTCTATCCCCAGAAGTAATTTCTAGGACTGAATCTCTTATCCGGCGTCCTACAATCTTATATAAATCGTTTTAAATCAACGTCAATTGACCACAATCATTCTTAAATCATTCAAATCTTCCTTGAATCTCTCTTGAACCACTAAAAATCGCACACAATCATGATTTAGCCACCGACAATCACCAACAATCATCACCAATCATCACAATCACTTCAATCATGTAGAATCTTTACAATAATTTAAATCATCCTGAATCATTTACAATCACCTACAGTCATTTACAATCAAATGTGATTTAAATCGCTGTACATCATTTTGAAGAGTGAGGTACCCCTCGCGCAAAACTGTCGGACAACAACAGTAGAAAAAAGATACGGACTATCGGTGCGATCTACGAAATGAGAAAAATGATTCTATCGGTATTCTTTTTTCTATCTTTTTTCCTCGAAACGAAAATCTTTACGATTTTTACGATCAACAAGTTTCGCGTCTATCTGTTCGTTTGTATGTTTGTATGTCATCACTATAACTCGAGAACTGTTTGAGCTAGGAGGCTTGGATATTTATTGTAACTTACACTGTTAAAAAATTGCTGTAAATTTACAGCGAAAATGTGATTAATTTTGTTAGCAGCACATACTGTGTTTTTACAGGCGTTACTGTAAAAAAGCAGCGTTCATGAAAATCTCGGACACAAAGTTTCCTACCAAAAGCAGTTACTTTCTTTTGCTACTGTAAAAAAAAGGTTGTAATAATACGAGTCTCCTGTTTTGGAACGAAATGTGCCGCTGACAAAACTAACATCTCTTCAGCAAAGTAATACGTGGTAGTTTTTGTTGTGGGCCAATGTGGGCCGAATATCACAAATTTCGAGAGTGTTCAAATGAAAACAACATTTCTGTTACATAACAGGAGTGTCAATCCCGCAGTATGTCGTCAGGTGACAGTTATTTTTAACCAAGTAGTAAGTATCATACAAAGCAAGAACTAGATTGATTTTGAGCCCTCTACTCTGCGAAAAAAACGTTCGTGAATTCACGACAACTCAGATAATTTTGGATTACAACACAACCTTGTAAAGTTACAAATTGCAATCCGTAAAATTACTATGAATTTCAGAAATACAAATTATAACTTTATGTTGTAAAAGTACGAAGTTTCTAATAACATTACGCAATATGTCGTAGGTTACAACATAGGTTTATGGAAGACATCTACAAGATTTTTCATACCTTTACGATACTTCACGTACTTTAACAAGCTTTTTCGAAGGCTTACAAGATTTTAATGTAAATTAACAGCATACCTCGTAAATTTTCAATTATTTTTTTT